TAAAGGAACAGAAAAATAAAAACAAAAAAAATACGAGGAAGGGGCATTAGGGTTGTTGCTATTACAACTTATCTCGCATAACACAAAGGGAAGATGAGCGGCGCAAGAGTTCACGAAGAGAAACACCACGATTTGGGTTGTTGCACGCGCGGCTCCGCTTTGTTGACGCAAGGAAGAAGACCCACATCATCGCAGAGTCGCGGCTGAGGTTGATGCCCATGCGGAGGGGACTGGGAAGGTGGCGAAAATGAGGAGACAAAGAGGGAGAGAACAGGGAGAAGGGGGTTTCACCATTGTCGGAACTCGCCTCCGACAGTGGCTCACAACAGTGTTTACGACGATTTGGTCAGTGTAGCGGCTCGTTTATGTAATAAGGAAGTGAGGGAGAAGACGAAAGTGAGCAACATCACTACCGGAAATCGTTTCCGGTGTTCATGGAAACTGATGGAGTCCCTCCTTCCATTGTTGATGATAGTGTGTTGAAGGGAGACACCTTGCCTATGATCTAGGCTCACCAAAGGTTAGGCAAAGGATAGTTTATGGTGGACAAAAGTGATAGGCGTGAAATGGGTTTAGGGTGGCGGAAGTGTTTGGGTTATGGTGTAGGATTGCTCAAGGTTGGCTCACTCCAAGTGTAGGTGGAGGTCACTCTAGGTTTCCTACTCTCCAAGGGGGGAGATAGGAGGAGGTTAGACGAATCAAACCTAGTGACTAAGGAAGAGATGTTGAGGCATGAAATGCTCACTCAAAATCTATATAATCCAAAGTATTTACAAGGTGTAGTGCATTGAGTATTTATATGAGGGGAGACATCTAGGGTTGCATTTGGAGTAGGCAAATGCACTCCAAATTAAATGCAAATGAACCCTAGATGCAACTTGGTGGCCAAGGATGAAATCTTTGAGTTTAGATTGGCTATATCTAGGTGCATGATAAGACCATGCAACCTTTGCCCTCCACTTGGGCCTAAGCCTTTCTAACACCAAAAATAGATCTAATGACACCAAAAACATGCGTCACCCTCTAATTAACACCCTAGCCCAAAATTAAAAACCCTAATCATCTAGAGCACCCCATAATACAAGGGTAAAATTGGAAAATAAAAAACCCTATACTAATGAGGCTTAGGAGAGCACTAATACTCTATGATCATGAGGAGAGTGTCCCTTGGTGTGTGAACTCCCTCCTCCTCTTTAACTCCTAGTCATGGACCTAGTGATGAGGCCCACATGTGTCTTCAAGGATGGTCCTCCATCAGGAACCGACTCTTTTGGCGCATTGGTACGGATTAGTCTTCTCTTTTATTCTTTATTACTATCTTTTCCTATTAGAACTGATTTTTTATTTGTTAAATGCTTTGTTGAGATTTGAGAATGGGGGTTTTAGTTTCATGGTAAAAGATTCACTAAAAAAAATAAAATTATTTTAATGATTAGAAATTAATTTGCATTCTATATCATGACAACAACATCATACTAAATAAAATCGGAGAGAGTAATTGATACCTGCACTGCTTTAGCCTCTTCTTTTTCCTTTTGTTTGAGTTCTCCCTATTTGAAATTTGGTTATTATCCTTGGTTCTCTCTGTTTTCCTCCGAAAAAATTTGTTCATGTTATGTTAGAATATTTATAGACTCACTATCGTTTTAATTGTTCTTTGGCAGTTGGTGCCAAGTTCATGCTTTTGGAAGCATATATGGCAGAAGCATGCTCTTAGGGACATGTTGGTGTCTATGGTAGAGAAGCTCAACAAACTTGTTGGAAGAGAATTAAGGGCAACAAAAAAGTGTAGGATGGCAGAGATTTTGGTACAGAGGAAGATATTGTTTCCTTCTTCCTTTGTCTTTTTCTGATTTTCTTTTATTATTATTATTGTATATATTTTTATTTAAGTTAAAATCTGATTTGTAAATTACTTGTTATTAAATCATTAATTTGGAAATTTTGAGAAAAAAATTAGTAAAAGGATTAGTGGAATAAAATTGGTGTTTACATATAAGATATTCCTTTTAGATTTTAGGGTATGTTACTTGGAGACTTTTGCTCCATTTGACCTTGTATTAAGGGTTATTGATTTTCATATTTTTAGTAGTAGAAGTGGGGTGACAAATAGTAAGGTGTGTAAGTGCAACTAGTAATTCGGCCAAAAGTGGACTTAGGCTAAATTTTACATATTGGGCTTGTGTTCCTCTATTTTTTTTCTAAGGAATTGATTTAGCTAGGTCTCACCATCATTTGGTGAAACTAACTAAACCAATTCCAAGATTTTTGGATTTAGAGAAGTGAAGGAAAGCACCAAGGCCGCCTAGCTCACTTCCTTTGGCCAAATTTCTTAGTTTCTCTTACACACTTGGGAAGCTTGTGCTACAAGCTTCTAACTTAGCTTGTTTCCCAAGCTTCTAAGTTAGAAGCTTGCTCCACAAGCTTCCTAAACTAACTAGGCCGATTAAGTTTGAGTGTAAGAGGACTAACCATGGTTCTCTTGAACCATAGTTAGTCTAGCTTGCACCATAAGCTTCCCTCCACTATATAAGTCTTTCTCTTGGCTTTGTAATCACTTTTGATGTTTATGAGATTAGAATTTTAGAAAATTCTCTCAACTTTCAAAGGTCTAAAACATGGAGAACTCTCTCTCCTTAAGAACCTTCGCATAGGAATCCTTCCTTTGTGCCTTGGTTCTAAACCTCTTCTTCTTCTTCAAGAAGATAACTGCACCACCATTTGCTTCCATCAAGCTCTTGGATTTTGATGCTTGTTCCGTGAAGAAGTCTAAGTCTCAAGAGAAGATTGGACTTGAAATTGGAACTAGTAGAAGATCAACTTTCACTTCCACTAGTCACTTTCATCAAAATGGTACAAAGATACAATATATAGAATTTAGTTGATTTCTGGTACAAGTTAGATTAACCATGATTAAATGTAACCATGGTTAGTTATCTTATACTTAAGCTAAACTAACTCTAGTTAAATGTCTAGAAGTCTAGTCAATTATCTAGAAGCTTATGGAGCATACCAAGCTAATCCTAGTTTAAGAATAACTTAGGTTAGCTTAAATTAACTCCAACTATCCAACCTAATCATTACAACTACCTAAGTAATGATTACATTTAACAAGTTTGTTGAGATGTCACTATCAAAGCCATATGACTTAATTTGTTACTTGGATGACAAACTTGACTTGGTTTGGACGTCCAAACCACTTGCATAAGAAAGTAGACATCCAATACCAATGGGCCAAAAGGAGTTGGGCTATCCAAGCCCAAATAAGTCTAACAAGACTAGCTAGTTACACTTCTCCTAGTATGCTAATTACATCCTTAGTAAAAACAATACAAGGACAAAATTACCTACACTACTTGATTAAAAAATACAAGGTCAAAAAGAAGAATGAACTATGAAATAAGCCTATATCAATAATTTGTGAGGTCTTAGAAAATTAAGTTATGAAAATCTAATTTGTGAATGGTGATGATGAATGAATTTACCCTTTAAGTATTTGATCTTACAAACGATTTAGGGTACCTATATCAATGTTTAGGAAATATAAATCATGGGAGAAAACAATTGTAAATAAGTTATGAAGTGAGTTAATTGTTAACGACTTGAGGTGTTTCGGTGATAATGTTGTCTGAAGACGTAATGTGTGATATTGATGAGGTTGCGTGACTAATTAAGTTATGCATTTAAATGCTTAGTGGTCTTGATCTTAGTGAATCTGGTTAGTATGTTAACATATGATTAGACAATTTCATAATAATTCTATCTTGAGGTGTATCGAATGATCTTGTGTAATTATCGTAATTAAATTGCGAACATGTATAATCATTGTACTAATTAATGTTGATAACTAGTTTTAGTATGTGAATATGTTATTGACATGATTGTGAGCTATGTATGAATCGATTGATATGCTCTAGTATTGATACAATTGATATGTATGGGTCCTGTGAGGGTTATATGATAAGAAGTCTAAAAAAAACTTAACCATAATGTGATTATGAATTGATGAGAAAATTGATGTACAATTATGGATCTGAATTGTTGTAATATGATAAATCATTGAGTCTTGTGTGACATACATCATACACATAACAAATGAGTCTTCGGGCAACAGTTGAGCCTTCAGGCAATAGTTGATAGTTGACAATCAATTTGACCGATGTCACATGCATATACACTTTGAAGTTTGTGTCCATTGCATTATATATATATGTATACAATTGAATTTATGTGATGACTTATATTGGTTATATAATTTATGTATTACCAATTGAATTGTATTTTGTTGTATTAATATATTTATATCAATAGTCTCTTATGATTTATATCTTTGCATCTTTGCACCTTTGTAACACTTTCCTCCACTTCTTGAATATTATTCTTTATAATTTCTAGCACTTCTTAAAAGTAAAAAATAACACCATTCTTTATGCACCATTGCTCAAAGTTCTTACCATAAAAAATAGGCAAGTTGGTAAGAAAAGATCCATAAAAATCAACCATGATTTTCCCTTTGAACTTTTAGAATTCCATAAAAGAATAAAATATTCCCACAAGTTAAAAAAATAAATTGACAAGATGAAGTTTTTCTCAAAACAAAATAACTTGCAAACTAGTGTGTTTCACACACACCCAATGGTTCTTCAAAACAATAAGTTCTAAATACCAATTTGATGGAGGTAAAAGACACACACTTACAAAGATAACTAAGAATAAAGAGTCAAAACTTTAAAGAAAAAATTTTATTCTCACACTTAAATTTATAAATGTCCACTTTTACACTTAATGCTTTCACTAACACATACTTAGAGTATAGAAACTTTGATTGTCAATAAATGTTACAAACATATATCTATTGATAGACAAAGCACTAAAAGTATATAAACGATACCTACAAACTATGCCTTTAAATTGTACATTCAAATTATACTGTTAGATTATATATTTGAATTATCTTACTCAACACAGATAAGTCTAATAATAACAAAATAAGACCAAATATGATTACAAATAAGTCTTAGTAAGAAAATAAACTTTGAAAAGATGGGCAATCAAACTCATCCCATCATTTGATCCGTAGAGGTGGTAAGTTGAACGAGTTGGGTTACTAGGGTTGAAATGTGCACAGCAACTCAACTCGTTGGTTATACAAGTGGGCTCGTTGAGTTGAACCAAATTTGACACCCCTAACCTTATGATCATCACCTAGTAAATTGCCTATTTGTGGTTCCAAACATCCCTTATTGATAAGCGAATTTCTAACAATATCTTTCATATACGATTACAGCATTGATGCTAATCCAACAAGAAGTCATCCAGCCATATGAGCACTTCATTCCTCTTCGATGTCACGAGCCACAAAATAAATGAAGCAATTATCACTAGTTAAGCAGATGAATATCAAATTAAGGTAATAACTTTTGGAAGTATTAAACTAAGGAAATAGAAGCAAACCATTATATATTATGAATTATGCATACAGCAGAAAACTCTGGCTAGAAAATAGTGTATATAAAGCAATTTTGTAAGGATGAGTAAGGTCGAAATCCAAATTCTAAGACTTAGTATCAGCTTATCTAATCTCATTAAAATAGAAGCAGAAATCCCCAAATAATAATAAAGACCTATCGTGCCCTTATTTTAAGATAGACTCTGGCTAGAAAAGAAAGACCCTTCTAGAGGATTCTAAGGGAAACACGTAACAGATATAAGACATCAAGAGGTATAGATAAGAATTTAGAGAGATATTCATTTTGAATCTCGTGATCTACCTAATGTAGACTGATATGGCTTGATGGAAAAGAATGGAAGCAATGCAGAGTACTTTAGAGTATCTACCATTGGCCATTGCTAGGTTCAGGTAGGGTTCAAGGAATAGTATTGAAACCAAATTTTCATTAGTAGTTTGTCTCATCTTGTTTAAGTCTAAAGGAAGGGAATAATAATTTATCAACCATTAATTTCTTATCAATAACTCCCTCAAATTATCTATTGCTTGTTTAAGCCTAATTTTATCTAGGAACAACTAATGCTCCACCGTAATAGATTATACTATCAATTTTTGGTAAGATTTGAACTTGATTAGTCACGCTTCAAGTTTTGGCTTGTTCCTAGGGAAAATATTGAGAACACAAATCCACTCCAAAAAAATAGGACTCATTCTAATTTTTCTCTAAGTTGATATTCTTGATCCTAATCTTTACAAACACCTGTCTGTCATCAGGTATCTACAATAGGAATTATCTACACTAAAAACACTTGCATTATCTTTTAACAGATGTAATGTCCCAAACAAATTCTCCATCTGACATTATCTTCCTTTCAGATCCATCAACCGAGGCTAGCCTTGAGTCCAAAAAGTGGGGCAGCACTTAGCTTATGGTTCACAGAATAAGCAAAATAACATTAAAAGTAGTTATTTCACTTTTATTGTTTTTAGCTTCCACTTCTCAAGTCATTTCACAACTCTTATTAAAAATCAGTTGACAACACTCAAACAGGTTATGTATCATACCATTACAAAAGTCCATGTTCGATCTGGATCACTGTACCGTGCAAGCCAACAACCAGGCTGAGGTTTAAGACCATCTTTAATGATATTGGAGAACAGGGTTTTCTCCTTTTCCCGAACAATATCCTCAGTGGGTTTTCCACCAAACTTCATTACGGCAGCAACGCCTCCCTCAACCTTTCTCAAGCGAGCTGTTTCTTGATTAGGATTTGGTAAACTGTTCAAAAGATTAAACAGTAAGCACAAACCTTTAAATTCATTTAAAGATACGTGTTTATTATGTTTCTACAAAACTGCATTTTTTTATTCGGCTAACACATGCATCTTAGCAAAACATTTCTTCAAATTTGAATACAAACCGAACTCAGTAGACATACCTGCCTGTTTCTTTGTCTAATGGAAAGACTATTTGGATTGACACACCGGACAGATTAGCGTCACTGGCTTGAGTAAAGACAGGAGTAGTCACTGGTATCTTCTCCATTGTGGAATCTTTTCCAAACATATATCTATGTAGAGGGATGATTAACATTTATGCATTATCTCAAGTTGAAAGCCAGGTTTGTTTGAATAAACTTCTCAAGAGGTACTTATAAGAAGAAGAAAAAATTGAAATAAACTTCTCTATAAATTAAAAGTAATGCATAAGTTAAAAATAAGATTTTGGTGAAACCAATAACAGAGAACTTCTACATATTAACTTAAGGAGAAGTTTATTTCATTTTTCCTTTTTATTTTTTTCTCTTAGAAGTACTTATAGAGAAATTTATCCAAACAAACCCTAAGAACAAAAGACAACTTCATTTGATATATCTTACCCAGCAACATCATTAAAACCAGCCGACCCAGATAGCTTGTCTCCATTTGTTTCTACTACTATGAATGGATCATACTGCCTAACCTGTTTTATCATTCAAAAAGGGGGGGAAAAAAAAGGCATCAGATAACAATTCTGAAAATTCAATCTAGTACTCAGACATATACCAATCTTTATGTTTTGCTACTTGAAATTTTTGTGTAGTGGTTGATGAAATGATGAACCAGCTCTTTTTGCATTAACGTTTGATATGCAGTAGTGTGGTAGTGTTGACAAAAATGCAACACAAACCTTTTGCTATAAGAAGCATTAACGAAATCCTCTATAAACAAAATGGCACGTTATTTTATAATGGAACAAACTACTGCATCAAAAATGATGGATAATATATTAAACTATCATTGCAAGAACAATTATGCTGGTTAATGACATGGTTGACCTCATAATTTGCCATCCTTTTCAATACTTGATAATTGGGTGATTTCAATTCCGGTGTCTTATAAATCCACAACTGCAAAATGCCAAGGTTTCCAAGTTAGAATAGATTTTGGATTTGAGAGAATGAACATGCAAGGCATACATACAACGGTTGTAGGACTGAAGGGATACCTGTTTGATTACATCCCACAAACCTTCAAAAGAAAAATAGTCATTTTTCTCTATTGAATCCCAAAAGTCCTGGAAAATTAAGGAATAATAAATAAGTTCCACGCCAATATGATAGTAACATTTCTCTATTTAAAAACATAAAATACGTAGATTCAATTCTTTTATTGTTTTTTGTGTTATCGAGTTGAATTAGAGTTTCACCTAAATAATCAATATACTAACCAACAATGATTTTCAGTACAAGATTTTGAACAAGTTTGTTTATTTTTTTTTTTAAAAGCACATATTTAATAAAATAAACCTTTTTCTATTTTTTTATGGGTTTGTCTGAATTACTTAAAAAGAATAGCTTTTTCTTGTTTTTTAAGAAATTAAAAACCCTTTTTTAAAAAACTTTAAAAAAAACTTTTTTAATAAAATAAGTAATTTTCCATTTGTTTACGCTTTTGTTTAAATTGATCTTTTTAAAACAATTGAATTTTTTTAAGGAATAAATCTTATTTGATTTGATTCTTAAACAAGAATTTTTTACACAAATAATACTATTTTTTAAAAAAATTTACCCAAATAGCAACTGTGCAAATTTATTTTTCCAATTAACACCATTTATTGTTCACGTTCAGAACGGATCGTTCTAAAATCAGAACGGGTCGTTCCGGATTAAAAAATAACACATGGCAAATGGATCAGAACAGATTGTTCCAAAATCAAAATTAGCACATAAAAAGTAGAACCAAAATGGGTCATTCTGCATCCAGAACGGGCCGTTCTGGCCTATAAATAAAAAAAATTTAGTTTGATTTTCACTTATCAAATATCAAAACTCAGAGACTACCATCAAGTAATTAAATTTATTGAATATTAACATTATAAATATAACTAAATAAATTTATTAAAATTTATTACAACAATAAATTTATTGCACAGTTTCTTTTTTTAATTTTAAACGCCATGACTTAGATTAATTAACAAAAAAAAAAAAAAAACCTTAAATAATTGCTACTAAAGAGTTGAAACTTAGAACGTACCACGTGACTACAGAACTTGCCATTTTCTGGGTTAATGCCCATAACGGAAGTCCCTGAAAGGATCACATGAGGGTTCCACGGAAGTAGAACGAATTTCATAACCGTGGTCCATCTTGTAGTTATCTCAAACGGTCCTGTCTATATATAGCGATTCCACTAGTCAAATAAACTAAAGCTTAAGAAATAATATGACAACATATATAGAAAAAGAAAACGACATTGAGTGGGGTTAAAAAATTAAATTAAAGATGAAACCGACCGATTTGACCCAATGCAAGCGTAATTGGGGCCTAAAGAGTGTTTTGATAAGTGCAATGTTGAAGAGGTAAGCATCCAAAGTATGGAGTTTGGTGATTGGGTCTCGGAAGAAGACACGTTCGTCATAGGCCGTTTTATCGATACCCTGGTCATCGAACACGTGTGTGAGATCATCGTAGAGAAAGTCCACGAGTTGTTGCACGTCGAACGTTGATTTGGCTGACCTCACTTGAATGGCCCACTTTAAGTTGTTATTGCCTTCAGCTTTGAGAGCCCGTTTTCGGGGCTCGGGAGGAGATCGGAGGTGCCGCCGGTAGTTAACGGCGGCGCTTGGTGGCCGGGAGTGGAGCACGCCGTCGAGAATGGCCGTGGAGAATGGCCGTGGAATTGACATTGGTATTGAATCTCAAGACTGAATCCTAGTCGCATACCTACCTACAATGTTTTACTATTATAATACTTAGAAAAAAAAAATTCCAAAATAAACCTCTCTCCTAATCTATAACTATTATAAAGAAGATATAGGAGATATAACTGTTTTTTGGTCTCCATTTTTTAATAGATCATTATACTCTCAATGTAAATTTTTTTAAAATTTTCTTTAAATAAATATCACAACTTTTTAATATTTTATTAATGAATAATTATTAGAGACACAAAGTGTCTCTACCTCTCTAGTATTTATAAACTGAACTTATATCGCATTTGGAATTCGATTTTCAGAAACTGAATTCCAAACCGTTTTTATGTAAAAATTATTTTATTAATTATATAAATTTATATATAAAATAATTTATAATTATAAAAATTAATATATTAATAATTTATA